TTTCCGTGAAGGGGAACTTCCGCAGTGCTCACAAAACTATATACAGGGTGTCCGTAAAGTATGTATACACTGTTTGATCGTTGATATTCTCTTTTCCCAAGAAGTCTTTTGCCTTGCTTCAAGTACCATTTTGTAGAGCTGGCTTCAACTTAAATTTACAGCATAGAGCGAATCAGCAATCACCCACTGTTACTGTAGTATTACGCTAGAAACTTGAAACATATGGTGTCAATGTGGAAAAAGCTGCCGTTTCAAAATTTTTCAAAATGTGAAAACTTGTGTAATAGGGTTTTTATGGACGCTGAGTTCAATACTCAACTATTCACAAGATTGCGAAGCTTTCTAAACGGTGTAACCGCACTTTTTAGGAACACTGAAAAAATGGCCGCTACCTCTTACCCGGCATAGCTTTTCAATGAAGCATCATAATAAGTTGGGAACCGCACAGTTAGAATCAACAACTCTAATTAGCCTAATACAAGAGCTTTCAGGCTGTTTTGTTTCCTTTCTGAGGCAAAATATGGCCTTTCATGGCTCAAAACCCTCTTTGAAGTTTCTACCGTATTCCTACAGTAATAAAGAAAGATGAACGATTCGCTCTATACTGTAAATCTAAGTTGAAGCCAGCTCTACAAAATGTTGCCTGAAGCAAGGCAAAAAACTTCTTGGGAAAAGAGATATCAACGATCAAACAGTGTATACATACTTTACGGACACCCTGTATATGAGAATTTATAACGGTTGAGGGTGTAATGGGCTAACATAAGCACACTTTTCCTCCAGCGTAAAGAATGTCTTACTTTTCCAATTTTTTTCAAAGATGGAAGAGAAACCCAGTTATTCAACAAGCGACAACAATTTACATATAGCGATGGGTGATGCATTCAATATTTCATATGTTAGAGTAAAGCGATGGCAAGCAGGGACCGTCAGCCAATGCTTTTTTCATTTGCGACAGCAAGAAAAAATCAAATATTAGAAAGTCGGCATATTTTCGCATCGGAGGAGGGCTCAAATAGTGGGGTTTTTTTATTTGCTAGCAAAAAAATTTCTATGCAGCAAAGATAACTTTAACTCTCTTCAGCCGCAAAAGAACCTGAAGTATAAGCTACTCAATGATGGCAGCCGAATATGTCTGTCCATCCTCACATGGAAGCATTAGTAACTTAAACTGGATAGTTTTAGAGAAAACCCTGCAGAATTTGAACGTTACTGGCATACAGTGCATGTGATAGCTATAAATTAGCTTAATTCAATAAAATTCAATTTGTTCAATATTATTGTCTTTGAAAAAGTATAAGATTTTGAATGAAAAATCGTAAATCGGACAGAACTTTTGAATCAGCCTAGTATATGTATCTCGAGCAATACATTCACCGCAGAGGTGAAAAGGTGGAAAAGAAGACCATTCAGGCCTCGATCATCTTGAAATAGGTCGTCAATGATTTGGAAGATGTAAAACCAAACGTCGGCACATAGGTTTCATGACCTACTCTTTGCAAATGAGAATAGATGGTGATGTTTGGATGCCTCTGTGAAAAGTCATGATTTTCGAAAAAATTGACAAATTAATCAAATTTGACGTTTTCTGTTGTGAGCTCGGATTTCATAACATTTCAAAGTCCAAACAGTACAAATTCTTCTCGGATGTGAAGAGTAGGTCATAAAATTGTGTACTGACAATTTCAGATTTCTCTGTAAGGCTCCAAATTTTTGGTGACCTAACTCAAAATGGTCGAAGCCAATGGTCCTCTTCTTTCATTTTATCTCAGCGATGAGTGCAAAGGAGTTCGTTGAGACACGCCTACAAAGAAGAAAACTTCTGCTGTTTAATAAACTCTAAAAGAGACAATTCGTATCGATAGCAAAAAGTTACAAATTTTCAGAAATGAAACAACAGAATTTGAACAACGTGATATATTTTTGCAGTGCATCTTTTTTTCTTGTACATGATTTTTATAGACCTTAACTACAACCCTAAACGCCTCAGCTTACACCGCATTATATTTTGCAACAAGATGTTCTTTAATTCGCTACCATTTTGTGGCATGAGCTTCACGTCAAAGTTTGACTCTGCTATCCATCGACGACAATGATAAGGAATTGCCACTTTTAATAAGTATAGCGTGTGTTTGCTCATATTACATTTTTGCACACCGCGAAGAACTTCAATCAATACGACTGGCAGCGTACTTGAACTTGGCAATTAGTGCTAAACAAGGCAGATAGAAGTAGAGAAGCTGGCCATTGTTAGCATATTGTCAGCTTCCACGGCACTCAGATAATTGTGACAACGAAAATCTGTGATTCCGCGCTTTCTTGATGAAAGCGGTTAGCGGCGGCTCCAGGCAGGTATGTTGGCAACTTGATGAATATCATATTTTATTGACCAAGCTTGATAGAACAATCGATCGGAAGCTTCGAAAAGATGAAGTTCTGATGCATTTGCCCTTGGTATACTTGCCATGCAATAGATAAAGCAACTGTTCAAGCTTTGGCGAACACGCTTTGGTCTCGCAGCGATTTCGTAACTCGTTCTCGCGACGATGTGCAGCCTGCTACCATACCATGGTCTACTCTTCGAATTTTCTGTTACACGATCACTAGAAAAGATAATGAGGAAAACGGTGACAAGGATCGCATTTTCAATTCATCATTCAACATTTTCACACCTTACAAGTAAGGTCCTTTTCGAAGTAGCATTTCCAAACAGTGCTACAGTCTGCCCCAATCGGGATCAGGCCGAACCGCCGGTTGAATTGCGCGCTCGCAACGCTAAGGGTCTGCGCTGCATACGTGCGCTGTCGCAGAGAGCGAAGCGATTAAGGAGGGAGCAGACTGGCTAGCCGTAGATGCGACGCAATACCTTCGCGGCACGGGTTCCCGCCATGCCAATTTTGGCCTGGTTGGATTGGGGTAGACTGTACACCACACTTTGAAGAGCATTCAACACTGATTCCAATTCTGATTTCATTATGTGCCAAGCTCCTATGCTGCCGAGTCATGTATGTTTTTAATGCGAAAAATGAATGCATAGTTTGGTTAAATCAAATTCCGCGGTCCTCTCAGCTCTCAAGTAGAGCAGTGTTGAGTATGAGTGTCAAAAAAAGGTTCTTTGCATGAAGTGCTTTGATGTTCGATAATAGATCATCTGAGCAAAGCTGACTGGTTTTAGTCTAATGAAGCTTTGCATTTTCAATCCAAATAAGCTCATAACTTGGGCGTCTAGAGGCTAACTCGGCAGAAGACGAAGACAGATTTGGATTCAGCAGCGTTCAGTTCTCTTCAAGGTAGTAGTATTAGTTTCATATGGAAAGGTCATTGTCAATTGACCTTCCTTGTTATTATAAGCGGTTTTGTGGTTTATTACTGAAAAAGAGGAAATTACAGAAAGCTAAGCATGCCGGAGAGCGAAATCAGGATCAGTTATTGCATGACGAATGTCTTCAGACGAGCAATTTATTGAAAGAATGCATGAATGTCATCATTATTCTTCTATCTTGGCTATGAAATGTTTTTCCTTGTAGTGCTCGGGCGCTCAAGCAAGTTTTCATAACTGGCGAACTTAAGGAGAAAGTTGCCGACAAGAAAATCAAGATGAATTGTTCCCTCCTTATAGACGCTCAGAGGATGTACCTAAGTAAGAATTCTAGGCCCCGACAAAGGCGAGATCGTTGGTTAGTCAGTTAAGCATTTACTCTGTCTTGCAGATTGTTCCTACACTAATTTAAAGAGTGTCTGTTTTTTTATGTAAGTGAGTGCCTGAGTTTGAGAAGAAAATTTTGTGATGAGCGACATGCTCAGGAAAAATACGGGAACTATGGAATAACGTCAACATCGGGAAGTTTTATTCGCGTCACATGTTTTTTGTGAGGGCCATCTAAAAGACATCTATTAGGTTGGTGCATGATTGCTGCACCAAAAAAAGTATAAACCGCAATAATTCGAAATAATCCTATATCCCAGATTTCGATGAATCATTAGATAGAGCAAGCAAAGCTCTACAAGATGGTGCTCAAAGATGTGCAGCAGCTTTGGTCCACGTGAAGATTGAAGCCGAAAACGAAAAGATCCAAGCGCCCGAAAAAACCAAGAAAAGATTGGAAGTCCGTTCAGAAAATACTTCAAGATTTCTAACATGCTCATGCATCGTCATTTCGTATAAGACATTTCTCTGTGCAGTTGCTGTATTTTTCTCTCAACTAGGAATTGAGAAATCGAAGTTTTTCATGTTTTTTCCAAAACAATGTTGAGATGTTCTAGCGCTTACAGTTGTTTACTATAGGACCTTACAGGCGTTATTGTGAACTTTCAGCTTTTTGTAGCAGCTGGTTTACGAGAAAAATCGAATTTTTAGCAACTAGGCAAGAAAAATTCGGATAAGGAGAGCTAGATTCGACATTTCTCGTAAACTAGTTTTTTTAGAAGGCTGAAAATGTAAAGTTTTACTGTTAATGGTATGTACTATACAACGGTTAGTGCTAGAACATCTCAGCACTAAACTGGCAAAAGCATGAAAAACTTCGTTTTTTCAATTTCTAGCTGAGAGAAACAGCAACTGCATAGAGGGATGTCTTACACGAACTGACAATGCATGAGCAAATAAGAAATTTTGAAGGATTTTTCTGAACGGACTTCCAATCTTTTCTTGGTTTTTTGAGGCGCTTGGATCTTTTTCGTTTTTGACTTCAATCTTCGCTTAGGCCAAAGCTGCAAAATTTCAAAAACAATCTTGTAGAGCTAGGTTTGCTCTATATAATGATATAGAGAATCTTATTTGGGATATAGGATTATTCCGGATTATTGCGCTCTGTACCTATTTAGGTGCAGGATTATGCATCAACTAATACAATGCTGATAAAGCTCTATCTCCAAAAGCTTTGCAAATATAGAATAATGACCGAAACTACAAGGAGTCTCAAAATAATGTGTGGAACGTTTAACCTGTGGTAACTCTCTTGTATAAACAACTTTTGAGTTCCACCAAAAGCTCTCGTATTATGGACGGCTTCGACTCAGAGCTGCAGCAGAAAACGATGCAGGATGTTCTATCTTTATTCCCATGCGATTGTGATAGAAAACTTCCAAAGTGGAGTTCTTGGAAGTAAGTGCCGTTTCCAGCCAAATAGCCTTAGACCAAATGGTAGTCAAAGTATTAGGTTGTCCCACAAGTCTTTTCATATCGGCACAATTCGGCTAACGTCAATTTTTCAGAGTAGAGCTCAAGAGACTATTTAATAGGACAACTTAAGTTCTACAAGATGGCCTACGCGTAAAAGGTTTGATAGTGAAGTTTTAACCTAAAATTCAAATTTTCCAATGCCCGAAAAATCGGATTTTAGGGCAGCAAAACTCTACGCACCTCCAACTTGTTCAGGTATGTAATGCCTGCATCAGGCATGTTTACATTTGCTGAATTTCTCATAGCTAGAAATCAAAAGTTGGGCCAAAATCGAAAGCTCAATATGTAGCTTTTTCTGGGTTTTGTAAATCAAATTTATTATTTATGGAGAAGTAAAACGCATAGTATGACAGTACCTCACAAAGGTTCAAACTTCAGATCTATCTATGTAGAAACAACTCAGCATAGCTTTTACGAAAACATGAATTTTATTTTCTCGATTGCTAGCAATAAAAAAATACAGCAATTGTATGTTTGAATGTTTGATGTGGACATTACATAGAAACACAGTAGAAATCCGTAGAATTTTTCTGAACGAAGATTTGTTTTTTCAAGGACTTTGACTTTTTGGGGACGTGGATGTTTTTAGATTTCGGACTGAAACTCTATGTGGATCACACCTAGTGTGAATCTTTAAAAGCCATCTTGTAGAGATTGCTTCGCTCTAATTCTCCGAATACTGCGAGAGATTTAAGAAAGAAGGCTGATAACAATGAAGAAATAAATATGAAAAGACTTATGGGACAACATAACAAATGCACGTGAAATTGTGATCTATTTTGCCGATGTGTTTTGTATGGTAGAGTATTGCATATTTGTAGTCGTACAGCTTTCGGCAGAAGGCTCAGAGTTGGCGGACTGCATCGGTCCTCACAAGATCTGTCAAATGATGCTGGATGTCTGTCTGTATGTCTGTCTGAGGATGGGCTTGCTGAATTTCAGCTACTTTTATATTCTTCAATTGAATAGAAAAGGAATAAAGACAAGATTTTGAATAAAAATGTTGAAGCATGCGCGTTTTCATTGAAATAACTTTGGGGATTGCAGTGATTCTGAATTGTATTTCACTGCACAGTGCTGCTGCCAACTCAGCAATAATCTTGCCTCAACGGTTTCCAGATCCGATCATGGATTGACTGTATCAAACATAATGCCATCACATTTCGTTCAAGCTAAGGCAATTTGAGTAAAAAGCGACGTCCTTGCAATGGAATACTAGCGACAGCAAATCAAGATTGAATTTAGTAGGGAAGCGCATTGTTAGATTAGCGTAATTACCAAAGTTGAACGTCCTTACATTGTTTGCAAGCTATCATCGCAGTTTAGCTTCTGACCTTATTTGCATTAGCAAAAATCTGCGCTTGACATTATTATTAAGCCAATTAGTTTCAGTTTTGGACCAGCTCGATTTCATGAGTTCCATCAACAATGCTATCGAAAAATTTCATGAACAATGCACAGTGCGTGAATTAGTGCTTTCATTGACACATTCTAAAACATAGATGGATTCGACAACTTGTACTTGTAGAAGCTGCTTATCATCATTCATAAGACCAAAGTGCCGCTTCGCGTCACTTTGATCGTAGGTTAACCACATCTAGGATTAATATCTATATATAAATATCAAAAGCTATCTATTTGGAAGGTATAGTTGACTGCACAGAATCGCCCAGAAGGAGCACCCGCGCGCGTGTTTCTTGCGGGCTAACGTTGGCACTCGCGTGCATGAGTCATCATAGCACCCGTATTCGGCCGCGCTGCAGGCACGCTCGCGTGCGTTCAGCCTTCAACATTCCGGGCGATTTCGTGCAGGCGACTTTATGTGCGTTATAGAAATCGCGTCGCTCAATCGATTGGGCTGATTATTTGCTCGCAGAAGTTTTCGACTTCGGAGACGGTTTTAGGCTAACTTTCGTTGAAATTTGCTGGGTTTTTCTATCGATTTATTGATCTATTTACTCAAATCTATGGAAATGGAGGCTTATTATGTTTTGGTCAAGCTTGCTCCAGTTGCCGTGTAAAAATGGGTGGTGAAGCTCATTCTCATTCCGCGGTGAAAAGGATGCGTTGTCGCAAAACGATGCAGCCAGGATAAAAGGCAAGTCAACGCAGGAGCCAGAGCAACGGTGAGCGCAGGTCTAAGCGGGTGTAAGACCGAAGAAAGGAAGAACTTGCCGAGGGGTAAGAAGAGTAGAAGATTGGAAACTTAGAAAGGGTAAGTACGCTTTTGAGACGGTTTTGTATCTTCGCGGCATCAGGGCCCGTAGTAATCTACCCTACCTGCCGGCAGGTCTTGCCCTCAACTCGTCGCGATCTCGCCCTCATGTCATGGAAACTGACAACGCTCTTTCTAGCTCCCCCAAAGCAATCAGTCTGGCATTCTCCATGTCTGACGGCCCAGCCTAGAGCTGGGCACCAGATGGAGGTCGAAAAAAATCCGAAAAGTTTCGACAAATTCAAATTTTGGGTTCAAAAGATTGACCTGCCGGCAACCTCGTGAGGTATTTTGTCGAGATATATGCCGGCATCTCGCCCTCAACCTGCCGGCATCTCGCCTTCATGTCAGCAAAGAAAGGAAAATAGCGTGCATATTGAGGAGTGCAACCTGCCGGCATCTCGTCGTGGTCGGACCACGACGAGGTGCCGGCAGGTTCATGACATTCATCTCATTTTTTGCCGTATTTTTGATGATTTCTTTATTTTTCGTGTTTTTTTCTTGTTTTTGAGGCACACTCATGATCCAAAACACTCACAAAATTTCAAAAATAGTTGGCATGATGAGTCTTTCTATTTTGCTGTAGGAAAAATAATGATTGTAAAACGTTTCATGCGCTACAAGACCATTTCTTATTTCCCATTGCATGTTTTCCTATCTGTATTTTGATCTACAGGGTGTTTTTTGAAGGATGCTGTTATATGTGTATTGTTTTTTTTGCTAAACATGGATGCTTAGTATGGAGGTTTTGTTTCTCATGCTGTTCGGTGTTGCAGCAGTTGAGCTCCCAATTAGCTCGCGGCTTCCTATCGTTTTAACTTGATGTAAACATCTACTATACATTAAGATTTGAGTCTAGCTTGATGAGTTTAGCTCAAAATGTACTTTGGATCCTTTGTAGCTGCGGTAAGACGCATGTATTTATATTCTACTCTGGTATGTCCGTCATATGTACTATTCTTTGTCCTATATCACGTTCAAGCCAGCGTGTGTCTCGATGCTAAGCGCTGTGTCACAGGTTATCTTTCCATTTCATATTCCCTTTGTTTTTCAAACGCGCATTTGCTGTCTTATCCTCTCGTTATATACGCACATCGCAGTATAGTAACCGATTTCTCTCAAATCGCGCGGTAGTGATAACTTACTTCACCAAATAATATTTCCAGAAATGTGACGCGAATACACTGGTCACAATCATTGTGCGAATTCGGCAATTTCGAAAGACAACGAGAGGGTAGGTAAGTGCAGTAGATACGCTCATCAAAGCTCTTCGGAATTTTTGCAATATAGTTTTTCCAGAACTTTGGCTCAACGAAAAGTGGGTATTTTGTCGTAGTATGATATCAAATGTGATGGAGCAGTCACTGGCAGAGTTGGCGAAAGTTTCCAAGCTCTGCCTTCAGGTACGTTCTATCTACATTCGAAATGTTAGTAAGGATTCTCAACTTTTCTGTAGAGTTTACCTACAGTTTACCTGGTTTTTTTCTCCTTCTTCTCCTTCGCACAGTATTGGATAGCACTTCTATCCAATTTACATGATTTATTTATTTGTTCCAAGTTGTTTCTGCTCGCTTTTTCCCTACACTTTCTTGATGAGTCACCTTAACTTTTCTTAATGACACTGTCTCAATGACAGTGTCATATTTATTGCTTGTGTAGTTTGCACTAGCGGCTCCGTTCCGCGCGGTCGCTTTCGCGGATCGTGGAGGTTGGTGATTACGACCAAGCTCGTGCAATATGCCGAAAAGCTTCTCAGCTTCCCATTTGCTTTTTTGCCTACTGTCACTTTTATTTACATGAAGCGAAGTTGAGGAGTCGGAAGAGATTTCGTTTTTGTTTCAAAATCAAGGGCATTGTACAATAATGGTGAGCTGTGTCCTAGTCGAAACACCTAGCGCCCGTGTATAGCACCTTTGGGTATTTTCCACGCCGAGTGGCTCAAAAGATGAGGGATGTGAGAAAATGAGAAAATATTCAAGGGTACGCTCGCACATGCGGCGTGAGCTCTAGGCGAGGCCGTCGCGCAAATCCAAGCCACTAGCGCAAACGAAGAGCCATTGTAACAGGTTGCAGCTCCTTTCAATGTGTCTTTTCTAGGCCCAGTGTATAGATCGCCTCCTAAAGAAGATGGCTGCAAAAGCAGGCTGAGTCGGTCTTTCAAAGGGGCGAGTATTTAAGAGCATTACGAGTTTTTTTTTCACCTCTGGTAGTAATGAGCTACTTTCTAGCCGGCATCAGTACTACATAACTTCATTGTACATATCGAGAGAAAGTTTGATTTGGATGTTATGAAAAGGTACAGCATTACATACCATAGCGTACATAGCAGGGGTCTAACTAAGACACTGCCCAAGCGGCAGCTCAGGTAGTGCTCTAACGGCTGAGATATTCCCCTCGAAGCTGGACCCTGCGATCGTATTCCGCATGGATTCATGGCGCAAAGCGTGTGTCCTGGCGCGAAACTTCCACCATACGACGATCGCGAGGTCCAGTTTCGAGGGAAATATCTCAGACCTTAGAGCACTACTGCCCAAATACTGCCGCTTGGGCAGTATCTTAGTTAGACCCCCCAAAACTGTTTCCACACCCAAGTCCCAAACGTCCAGATCTGCTTGGACGCTGCCTTTAAACAACCCAACTCTTTCGTCGAACTGAACATTCTGTTTTTATATCGAACATATCCCTTTCAGATAAAGCTTCCATTTCTGTGCTTAGCCTCCCACCGTTTTTGTTTTTAAGACGCTATCATTCCTTTCTGTTAATCGTTCGTGAAAAGAATGGCGTTACAATGGTGGGACAATGTGCAGCTTCATTCGACCATCGGTTCTACAACTGTTATCAATAAATACGTGAATTTTCTCGGTTTGTAGACCCTACCTCACTTTCTCTTTCTTACTTCAATTTTGAAAAAAAAAAGAGTCCACAAACTCAGTTTATTCATTAGGGTCTGTTTGTTTGTTTTTGTTCTAGATGTATATGGTTCCAAAAAGACGATGGACCGGTCTCACTTTCGGCCAGAACATTGAGAATACAAGGTCAGTATTCTCTACCATCTACTTGCCGACATCAATGGTCAAGTTTTAAGAGTAATTCAAGCAAAACTAAGCGTGCCTAAGGTGCACACAGTTCTCTTACAAATGCATTCCTTTGTATTTTATGGAAGTCTTGCAAATTCCACATATGGCCTCGAATATAGTTGCAGATTCGAAAAGCGAAGTTCAAAGCCGCAATTTCATCTCCTCGCCATTCTCCCGACAAGACAACTGTTGCGAGTACATTACATGTACATCACCTTACATTTCGGCTGCAGTAGAAAGTCACGATCACGATTAGTTTTGGCGGGTGGGGGAACGAAAGCCGCCAGGTCCAGCCGCCTCCACGGACTGCTGGTCCTGGAACGACATGCAACAACGCTGCGAAAGGACCAGCTGGCCGCGAAAGGCGGCTGAACCTGGCGGCTTTCGTTCCCCCACCCAGTTTTGGCGGAAAACTATCACTACCGAAATGTAAGGTGATGGCGTGCAATGAACTCGTAACAGTTGTCTTGTCAGGAGAATCGCAAGAAGAAATCGCGTGAACGATGTCCGAGGCTTTAGCAGCACGATTGCTGCGTTAGAGCTTTCGCAAATGTTTTTTTACAGTATTCACGAGCAAGGCCGTTCGGAAATCGTGTATCTTTGATGTCGTAGAAAGTTATGGAAAAACCCGATCGACATTGTTGTTGTTGTTGAGGTGAGTAACTAATTCCTTACAAGATGCTTAGTTACACTTTGATGTATTTGTAATTGATTCTTTCAGGCTGAGGAACTCTCGTTGTGCCCTTTCTATCGTTGCAATGCTCGCGCTGCTCAATTTTTGATCCGTTATTATACGTTACCATGTTTTTTGGAGTGAACTCTTTCTAAGCCCGTTTCGGGACTGTTTCAAAGATGCACTTTGTTGTGCACCGAGAAGTGCGTGCGGTTCACTTCGAAAAGCCTTTATAAAGGTTGTAGCCTGGTGATGCCTTATGTATCTTATGTTTATACTGATTGGCATAGCTTGGCTAAGCACGTCCGCAGCAGTCGTAAGATCATTTGTGAAGTTATACAATTCAAGTCCAACCTAACCTCCCGCTTTGTAGTGTATTAGTCAAATCTGACTGCTTCACATGGAGAAAGAGTACAGTTCACGCTGCATCTTTTCCCCGCAACGAATAATATGAGATGCCACCTGGCCAGGACTTAGCTAATTTCTTCCTCTCTGACTGATTTTAGTATTGTTCACAAATAAGGACTAGGCATCCAGATTTACCCCCTTTCTGCCCAGATGGATGATAGCTGCAAATAAGCATACTGTAGTCCTATGGTTGTCAATATACCGTTGATATAGTCGCTTTTTTGAGGCAATATGTTCTTCGCTGGAAAAAAGTAAAGTAGTGTCCACTAAGCTCCCAACGTTTTCAAAGTCAATATTCACAGCTTAGCCATAGAATTTGAAAAAATTTTGTCCTACGCAACACGCCTGGCTGGCACAAGCTATCTTTCACGTTGGCTGCCCCCCTCTGCTGAAGTTTGCGTTTTTCTTCACAGTTAATAAGCAAATTACAAGTCAACTGAAGAGGCACTTTATTCAATTGTTAAAATCGGAATGAAGTTGACTGCTTTCCGTACTGCAAATTTAGGCTGACACACGTGTGTAGCTTTGATCCTCGTTACCAACCTGTTTGGTTATTTGTTTTGGTAGCTGCAAGTTATTTGTGATTCTTATCACTTGTGTTTTGAATGCATTACGATTTGTATAAGTATCGTCGACTCGTGGTCTGCTTGGGCATCACTGAGCACGCACTGCTTGTACCAGTACAAATTCGCCGCTGTTCAAGTTGAGCTCTCGCGGCATTTCAGTCGCGCCGCTCGTGGTCCGCAACTTGGGCCGTCGTACGGTCAATAAATCGACGACAGTTGCTTTGGAAGACGATTCACGCAGTTTTCGCCCTTCTTTAGATCGGTTTCTGAACAGCTTAGCCTACAAGTAGGTAGATAATGAAAGTCAAGAACTGCCGGACACTGCCCTCAACGTGATGTCTAGGCGCTACTCATCAGCGATGTCTCTCAGGACATGCATTCATTAGAAAGCACCTCTAAATGTCGCCGCAATGATTTTTACTTTTGGGGTTTCTAGTAAAATGAAGATTAGCGGGCGAGGGTCGTCTAGTGGTACGATTACCGTTTCGGCAGGAACCAAGGTGGGATTCGAGGTTACCCCATCTTCTAGATTTGAGTAAATCAAAACGACGAGCTCTTGACACCCGATCCGCACAAGTGCTTGAAATGTTTGTATCACCAAGTACTTTTTTCGAGTGGGAAAGAATGCTTTGGGAACTCCTCTATCTCACCTTTTACCAAGGTATGCGCTAGACCCTTTAACATTCTCGCATGCTCTGTGGGATCCCACTCATATTTATCATGCGGAAAGCTGACTTCTGCATAATAGGCTTGCTGCCGTGGCCTCATGATATTGCTTCTCAGCATAGTCTACCAGTTCCAGTAGCTCATCATTCCACACGTACCTACGTGGGGTGAATGTGTTAACATGTTAATGTTAACATGAATTGTTAAGCTTCATCATCATTCTTGTAGAAAGTCGTAATGTACACGTGTAGTCCAATGGTTGACGTGCTGACTTTCGTTGGCCAGAAGAGGGTTCCATCCCAGCAGGTGCAATGGTTTTGCGATCGACCTTACATTGCACAGTGACCTGTTATATCGAGAGGCTTAGGAGCTAGCAAACCTCACGCCCAAAACATGAGCTTGTCATGAGGTTCGCGAGGTTGCCGTCATGTCTTATGCCAGCATGTCAGGTGGATTACTACCACCCCAGGTGTTCAGAACCACGGTCCCAGCAGGCCGAGTACGCCAGCTAGTAAGCTATAAGTTTTCGTCGCAATTCAGCGGTACTTTAATTGCTTATGAAGCGTACATGTGGTGAAGATTTTCAGAATACAAAGGTTATTCAAAATTTCCCTCATAAATCAAAGCATTTTTGCTGAATATACATAAATATATCGCTCAAACATATCGTCGGTCCCCACGGAAAATCCCAGATAGTGCTGGTCACCCAGCTTGTCTTACCATCTTTCAACGTGCTCATCCAAGGAACGTTGAATGCTCGGATGATTTAGGAGCTAAAAGCAGAAAGTAATATGCGCTAGACATGGTATCAATTTACATTGTTGAGGACAAACGATGCATAGACATGATAACCGTTTTCGACGTATAACAATATTCTCCCAAGAAAATCTGCAGACGAACTTGATCTCAGATTGGATTTTACGTCATCTTTGCTCAAAATCATCAGTGTTCGTCGCCAACATAAAACGCCACCATGATATTTGAATGAAAAATTTGTGTCAAAGCCTGTCTTGACTGTATGGACATTACCAAACTACCTATGCGCTGTCGTCCAAAAAAGGAGGTCTTTGATCTTAGCGAAATTTTTGTCAAAAATCGAATTGATTGATATCAAAATTGCAGAACATAGACATACTTCTAATCATTTGACTCTATAATTGAAACTACTATTACTCTATGTATTTCCATTTTTTCCATTTTCCTGATGATTAAGACCACACATCATCCAAGGCTGTTTTGCACAAAATCTCGAAAATTACACTAAATATATATGCGCATGTAGGGTTCATAGATTAAAAAGTGCATTTGCAATCATCCAGGTTATGATTAGAGCGAAGTTATACGCAAAAAACTTGGATTTCTTCATCATTTCTCAAAACTTGTATGAGATATTGCTCTCTACTAATGCGAAATGAACTTACATGTCTCATAATCAACAGCTCTTCATTGAATGTCGCAACACGTAAGTCGTAACGTAAGCCAGCGATCGTTTTAACTTCTAGACTATTGCAAGCTAACTGCAAAGCTTGCCAACAACAATTTTACTCATTCTTCCTCAACGATTGCTACATGCGTTTTTGTTATGATGGTTAGCAGATAATACATACAATTTGAATCGATTCGTTATGTTTTTTACCTACATATGCGTAAATTCGCGCGTACGCTCAAGTCGCGCCACGTCTGCCGCATATCTTTGCATATCAGTTCATATGCCCATACGTGGCACGAAAACTTGCATAGCGAAACGTCCACATTTAGGCTTATGGTAGAAAAAAACCGATACGCATTGACATAGACTACAGGTTGAGTTTGAAGATTTCAAAACCCCTCACGTACATCATAATGTGTCTGGGGTTAACAGAAGAACAAAAAATTGCCTTCAGCAAGGATTACGTCTTATATAAAGGTGAATGTCTGTTTTTTGTCTGTCTGTATGACTGTCTGTCTGTTTGTCTGTACGTATGTTCCGAATAGAAATTTTTATTTTTTAACCGATCCGGACCAAACTTGCCTCGCGTACACTTCGGGGCCGGACGGGTGTCTTAAACTACTTTCGTCATTGATCGATATCGATTTTATCGATTTGTTGCAAAGTTTGAGCTACGGCGCTGGGAGGTTGCACAGGGGAGTAACTGAAAATGCTGATTACGAATGCAATATTGGTTTCAAAATTATCCGCTACTTCTATCGAATTTGTCAATTTTTTTTGCAACGTTTGAGCTGCGGGGGAGTTGGCACAGGGGGGGGGGGGGTAATCGTGCATTACTAAAACAGCGGGAATAGCGAATTGGCATGTAGACGTGGGCACAGGAAAAGCTTGTACAGGGATAGGGATGAAAGCTTATTATAGTGTTTTGACAGGGCCGGGCGGAACCGGGTAAGCCAGCCAGTATTTTCCTAAATACGCGATTATGCTTATAAAAGATGCAAATTTTCTAATGAAAAACACACTATACTCTATGCACAGCCTAAAGGTTATAACATCAGACAGTCATTACTTATCTTTCAGATGTAGATTGTTGCAGCGCCTATTCTAACGCAAACCTTCTATGATATAAACTCATGTATGGAAAAAATACAATAAACTGCGCAGATCTGTGGTTTTCAAAAAAAAATCATGTGTCGTAAGCAGTGCCGGTTGATAAGGCCACAGATAAGATTAGAAGGAGGTATGCAGACAAGGCTCTTTTGGCTTTTGATTTATACTCTAACGTTTTGTCTTCTTGTCAGTTTGACATTTATCTTTAGGACTTTAATTGACAGTTCCAGAATTTCTTGATGCACGGAGTACACGAAGAGGTAAACATGCTTGCCCTATGTGGTGACGTCATCGCTGGACATAGCCACTTGTTAACGCTTGATGGGGGGAGGGGGGGCTGCGATTCATTGTTGTAGATGATCTTGAGTTCACTACTGCTGTGCTGCCTTGTTCTTTGTTTAATGACGTCTGATGCTTCTGATTTGAAAATCTTACCAGAAATTTTTCGTGCTATCATCTAACAATAGGCTATTTTCTCAAACATATACGAAAATAGGAAAAGGCATGACAGTCAAATGACATCAGTGTATAGACGTAACAAATGATAAAATTGCAACACAGACAACTACAGGGTGATAGATAATTACCTGAGGTGTCCTAAATGTGTCGATTTTTTCTGAAGAACTTTCGCGGTTGTTCAAACAATGCATTGAAGGGCTGATTTCTCCCCGTTGTAAATATTAGATTGATGCAAAAGTTCTGTTGCACATATTCAAAAATTATAACTTCTTGCTTGTTCTGGTTCGCACAAGCTTAACCTTTTAGATACGCAAACCCTTTTCTTTGTAATAGTGTCTTTGCAGCTTTCCAGTAGGGGGTAGCTTTTGAGATAAACAGGAGAAATGAAATTCAACTTCGCTGATTTTGAGTTAGGCTGCAAAAAATCTGAAACTTGCGATAAAATAACAAAGCATTATAGTAATTCTTCTGATCCACAGTTTCCATCAGTGCAAAATTTGTGTCAAATGAGGATTTCTGTGGAGAAATATAATTTTCGAAAAAAAATCCAAAATACCAAATTTGTAACGGGGGGGGGTGGTCTGCGGTAAGTCCCGGTAGAACCTGATCGATGG